TGAAACCACTGAGCCAAATCCCTGGCCCTAGTTTCTCATTCTTTATGGCTGAATATTACCCCATTTTATAAAAAACACATCTTCTTTATCCAGTCTCCAGTTGATGGGCAATTGTGCTGTTTCCAAATTTTAGCTATTACAAGCTGTGCCGCTATAAACATGGGTGTGCAAATATTGCTGTGGCATCATCCTTTTAATTCTTTTGGGAAGATACCCTGCAGGGAAATAGCTGAGTCAAATGGGACCTCTAATCCTAGTTTTTTGAGGTATCTCCATACTGATTTCCACAGTGGTTGCACCAGTCTACACTCCCACCAACAATGGACAAGGGTTTCTATTTCTGTGTAGCCCTGCCAGCTTGACAAAGGAGCCAAACACCCTCACTGGAGGAAAGATAGCCTTTTTAATAAATGGTGCTGGAAAAATTGGGTTTCAACGTGCCAAAGATTAAAACTAGACCTATATCTCTCACCTACACTAAATTAAAATTGAAATGGATCAAAGATCTAAGTATTAAAACAGAAACACTAAACCGGCTGGAAGAGAAGTTAGGTAGCACTCTTGAAGACATTGGCGTAGGAAAAGATTTCATTAACAAAACCTCTGTCACATGTGAACTAGCACAAAGAATCAACACCTGAGAACTCATCTTATTAAAGAGCTTCTGCGTAGCAAGAGAAACCACCAACAGAGTGAAGAGACAATCCACAATGTGGGAAAAAATTTTTAACAGCTGTTCCTCAGACAAAGGTCTACTGTCTAGAATATATAAAGAACTTAAACAAATCAGACCTCTCAAATTTATTTCACATGCCCAATCCAAAAATGGGCATGTGAAATAAGCCTCTTTTTCTTTCATTTTCATTTGCTGGTTTCTACTCTGCCAATCTATTCTGTCCCCAGAAACTTACCTGTCGTTTCTTTTTTTCATTTTATGTGACATATGCTTTTACTGTTCCCTTTCTTCGAATACCTTCCACATACTTGTCATCTCTCCTGAAGCCCTTTTTTGGTGTATCATGTCCATATTTATCATCAACTCTCACATAACTGTTTTGTAGTTAGATTGATTGTATCTTCTCTTTCCCTCTCAGTTGTGAGCTCCTGGAGGATGGGCATCCAGAATTGTGCTGTACATGAAAAAGGCACAAAATTTGAGAATAAGATTTGTGACTGAAACAAAAGAATCATTTGAGGAAATTATATGCATGTGTGTCATGTGATGGGGCTAAAGTAAAGCAGCAGATTTCCTGGTCAAATATAAATGCTGTGACTTTCCCTTAACTGATGAATAAGCATTATTTCCTTGTATTAAATGGATCTACTAAAACTTAATTCTCCCATTTGTGATTTCCATTTGTGAATTTGTTTTAGTAATGTTAAAATTGTGACATATGATAGACTGTTTCCAGATGGATGCTTTGAACCCTTATATATTGAAAGCTTAAATCTGTGCTTTTAAAATTCCTCGTTTTAAAACTTAGTGACTAGATGATAAATTCACGTGGTTCAAAAATAGTTGAAAAGGATTTGTAGTAAAAGTTTACCCTCCATAAAAAAGAAGTCTCTCTATAGTTAATGAAAACATATTATATACTTATAAATTGCTGAGAGTAGATTTTGCAATATTCTCACTGTGGGAAATATTCTCACTATAATAGGTCAGTCTGGCTATTCGACAACATCTACATATTTCAAATCATTCGTACACCAAAATTTGTACAATTTTATTTGTCAGTCTAAAACATAGATTTAAAGTCCCTGGTAATCAGTATTATTTTTTATGATTCTTAGTCAAGCAGATAACTAGGAACAAGGTATACAGTCCATTTACTTCGTAATTTGTCTCAAGAGTCTTCCCATGTCAGACTAGGGAGTCCTTCATCCTTTTTTTAATATTTGTAGTGTTTGTATACCTGATTTATTTAACCTATCTATTGATGTAGGTAATTTTCAATTTTTTAGTTTCAAAGAGTGGTACAATTTTCTATATTCATTATTTTGCCAGTATGTATATATATACAGTAGAGTAAGTTCCTAGACACGGAGTTTCTGAGTACAAAGTTCCTGGTAGAGGTTAATTTGTAAATTGACCAGTGGAAAATAGTACTACATACCATTAATTGTTTTCTAAACAATCCTATACAATGAAAGGAGCTGATTTTAGAATTCATATTGGAAAATTTAGGAGAAAGCTGAAGAGAAGTAATGAAGATAAAGGTAGTTAGAAAGAACTGGCCCTAACTGGTATTGAACCATGGTATTGATACCATTCTTTTTACATTACTAAGACCTTATAATGTAGTTTAAAACTGATGGAATTAATTTTGGGGGTAAGGGATATAAATTAATATAGCTTTATGAAGATGCCTCAAAATCTGGTTCTTAAGGGGAAATAAAAGAAAACCTGTAACTTTGGATTTGTTAAGTTGAAGCTGACATAGAAATTTCTGATTTCTTTCTTATAGGAAAGTGACTATTTTACCCCACAGGGAGAATTTCGTGTAGACAAAGCAGGATCCCCTACTTTGTTGAATTGCCTTATGTATAAAATGTCATATTACAGATTTGGAGAAATGCAGGTTAGTTAAAATCAGTTTTTCTACAATCTTTATCAAAAACATAATCTTTTTTGCCTCTAGAAAACAATGTTTTTATTGTGCTTTATATAAAGAAAAATGTGTTTATCTAAAGATTCTTTTATCCATTAAATTTAGATTTCTGAAATTTCTCTGAAAAATTAGAAAAAGTTTTTAGATCAAGGACTTCTTTCCAGAATATTTTTTAACACTATCTCACATTCAGCCTTTGCTTGCCATCATCCTACCTTTTGATCTTATGCTTTTGGAAGGCATTTTTCTCCAGGAAGAGAAGTCTCCCAGCTAGGAAACTGTAATCTTAGGTAGGTCACTTTGCTGTCTGGTGGAGAAAAGCCTCAGAGCTAAATTATAATTATGTGTTCACTCTGTTCCACTTCTCCATTATCACAAATAGCCAGAACTAAGTCAGAGTTCCCTAGTTCATTAGAATGATGAGGAACAAACACTTTAAGGACTGCAAAATGAGTGAATGTACAACAAGATTTTGTCATGAAAGAAGGAACAATGGACTTTGTCGTCATATCTGTGCTTTAGATCAAGCTGTCAAGTCTTGTAACCTGCAAACTAGTTGTTTCCTCCCTAGACTCTTGGTTTTTTTCTTTTTTGTAAATAATGGCAGTTGGTCTGACGACTAGATTTTGAGGGAAACCAGAATATGTCACCCCAAAATATGCTTCTGTGACAAAAATTATTTTTGAACTGGAAGCAACTAAGAAGCAGCAAATTACAACTCTAGATTCTTTGTCAGCCCAAAGAAGGCACCAGGGGAATCTGCAAACAAACCTTACTACTCTGTTATTTTCTCCTGTATTTTTACTGTCTCATACTTTCCCACCTTAGAAGCCTAAAGCCACTTGCAATTTCTCCTCAAATTTACTGTTCTTTTTTGAACATAGTATATAAGCCAGAGTTCTAAGCCATTGCTTTGAGTTACTTTTCACTGATATTTTTCCTGTATAATGTGTGCTACCTGTGTTAATAAACTTATTTTTCTCTTGTTAATGTGTCATTACATCAGTCCATCCCAGCTAAGAATTCATGAGAGAAGTCAAGTTTTTTCTATTATTTTCTATTGCTAAAATTTTATAGTTCTTAGATTCTAAGAGTATGCTATCAAGTTAGAACCTTCATACTGAGATCTCAGTGAAAATTCCATATTGAGGGACTGGGGATTTAGCTCAGTGGTTCCACCGCCTGCCTCGCAAGCGCAAGGTCACAAGTTCGATCTCTGATACCAAAAAAAAAAAAAATTCCATATTGATTTCTGGTGAAGTAGATACCCTAGAAAGCAGAGGGAAAGTTATTTGTTTAATCTTACACTGTCACTGGGGATCAGGGTAACTCTCCAAGCTGATTTTGTTTGGGCTTCTTTATGAAACAAATTTTATCTTTTTGTAAGATACAAGTAAGGGTGAAATAGGCTAGGACACTGTTTTTAGAAGAGTTTTTGCATATCACTGTTTGCCTGCTGATTGTGTTGTTTCAAAATAGATTTGCACAACCAGTTATTTGCTTCATCTTTATCCACCTGGAACCACTGCAGGTGGCTTTAAAGACAGAAAACTCAAGACTGATAATCTATATTTAAGTTTTTGTTTTTGTTTCTTTCAAAGGCCATTACCTAGTCTCTAAATTCATGCCAAGAAAGAAGTACTTGGCCATAATAATTAGTTACTTAATGCTTTTTCTAGGGAAAATGATTAGTTTTCTCTGTTCACTAATGATTACATTGAAGAACACCCCTTAAGTTTATTCATGATTTTGATTTCCACTCTACTCACAAATGATACATAGTTAAAAGTAGAGAAGCAAGAACAAATTATTCACTGTTGGGAATAGATTTGTTTTTATAAGTTGGCTTCACCTGTGTTAGTTTTGTGTTTCTACATAAATATACTGCATTCTGAGGGAAAAAAAAATGTCAGCCTCCCCTCCACACTTCCTCAGATTCTTCATAAATCCTGCAGAGTTTGGCTTGCTTGGCCTCTTTGTGGTTCCCACTTTCAGGGTGTGGTAGCATTGCTACAGGTACACTGTGGATAAGATAAAGTCATTGTGCTAGTGGAGAATATAGATAATTTTTAAAATAAATAAAAATAAAAATGACATGTTCTGTAGAGGAAAAGAACAGGGTTCTGTTAAGGAAAAATAAAAGCTTGTCAACTACCAGTCTCCAAAAAACATTTCTCCAAAGAGGTGATATTTAGCTGAATGCAAAGGATAAAAAGCCACAGTGCAAAAGTACTGAATCTCTGCCATATCGGGCAAAGAAAACATAGTTATAAAGCAGGGGGAAAAAACCCCACCTTCTCTGTGTTTATCTCTGTATACCTATAAAAAGGTTTTGATGGATGTCATTTTGATATTATGTTTTTCTAATGCCTACAGGCTTGCTATCCACTCTTAAGGATTCTGTGAAATTGTTACCCAGATGCATTTATTTTCTTTTCCTTATTTCTTACTGTCTAGTTAGCAGTGTATGAAAACTGATAAGATACATTATTCAGTTCTGTTCTTAATTTTAAAAGGGGGGAGTTGTACTCTAATGAAGCATTTACTTCTTTATAACATTGAATGTTCTCCAGTATGGTTAACATAATTGATGTTACTTTTGCAGCTGGATTTTCGTACTCCCCCAGGTTTTGACCGAACACGTAATGCTGAAATTGGAAATAAGGACATTAAATTCAAGCATTTGGAGGAAGCCTTTACATCAGAACATTGGCTTGTTAGGATATATAAAGTGAAAGCACCCGATAATAGGGAGACGTTAGATCACAAACCACGAGTCACCAACATTTTCCCAAAACAGAAGTATTTGTCAAAGAAGGTGAGTGCCAAGTGAAGTCATTTCTACGAGAGGGTAATTCAAACTTGATTGGCTTGTATGAGAAAGAATTACTGGAAATTTGCTAACAAATACTCGTTTTCCAGACAAGACTGACATATACATAAAGTGAATGTCTGGCTAACCTACTAGGAAAATTCTTTTCAAACTGAGCACTTCAGCTATCTCTAGCAGCAGCTTTTCCTAAATAGCATGGTGGCTAAGATTTTTTTAAAGGTATTCTGGTTTGAGTTTGTGCCACTCATATTAGATTTATTTGTAAATGTATCTGACCATTATTTTCCAGACCTATGTGAACGTAAAAATGCCAGGTGCTTAATGGAGTTGTGATTAGTTCCTCATCTTTTGGTCAAAGCAAATATATATTGAATCATCATGTTTCATTTATAGTATGACGTTACTATATTGTTCATTGAATAATAGGCTTTACTTTGGTGAGTCCTGAAGCATCTGTCTTAACATAATTATTTTCAAGGTAATTATTATGACAAAGTTTATAGGTAGAAATTATGAGACTGTGGCAGTTCTTTTCTAATATTTAATAAAATGAAATATTTCAGGGCCAGGGATTTAGCTCAGTGGTTCTGCTACCTGCCTTGCAAGCACAAGGTCCTGAGTTCGAGCCCCACTACCCTCCTCCCACCCCCCCACCCCCAAAGAAGAAGTATTTTATTGGGTCCATTATTGCTTATTTAAGCCAAATAGATCTCTGATCTTTGTCATAAAAGATTACTAAAAATAAATATTTGTGTAGGTTGCCCAGCTATGCAAGATGGGAAATAATGAGCTGTCAAGTAAAATATTAAAGTTGTATTATAAGGTACTATTCTTATAATACTGTTTATTATTAGACTGATTATCAGTCTTAATTTTTAAAAAGGCACTTGGATTCCATAACTCAGATAAGGTATTTTAAGCCATTGAGGAAACTGTCTTATCCCTTTGTTACTTAAAATATACACCAAATATATTCAGAATATAGATTATTTCAGTGTATACTATAAAAATCCTGAATATTAGCTATATATTTAAATATAAACTTTTTATGTGACTGCTTTCTTTGCCAGATATAAATTACCTATCTCGACTAATATATTTAAAGTTGTCACATAGAGCTGACACAGATTAATCATATTAAGTTCACTTACCAGTCTTTAGCTCAGATGACAAAGAATTCAAATGATTTGGTTTCTTATAGGCATTAGGTAGGAGAAACTGATGAGTCATACAATATAAAAGTCAAAACAAATGCTGCTAGATTAAAAGTTGTCCAACCCTAGTTAATTTTTTTTAAAAGAGGGCTGTTGAACCTTATATCTGATGACAGAAATTCCAAAGGCAGTATATTTTCTTAATCTGGCCTCTTGTCTTCTGTCCGTCATTTCCCCCAAAATAAGCAAGTGGTAGCGGATAAATAAAAATTCATCTCTCTGGTGTGCTCATGACACATTCTAGTAACCAGTAACATGGATTTTGAATTTGTGTTCCATGGCTTTATATTCTGTTTATACTAACACTATAGAGCAGTGGTGGCGAAACTTTTACAGACGGAGTGCCAAAACTGCAACCCAAAACCCACTTATTATAAAATGCTAACACTGCAATTAACCTGAATACTGAGGTTTTTTAGTGTAGAGAAAACAACTGTTATTCGATACTAGGCTGCTGGGGCAACTTGGCTTGTACCCTGAGCTAGAGGGCTTTGTGTGCCCCCTGCGGCAAGCATGTCATAGGTTCTCCCTCCTTGTTGGAAAGGAATGATTTATGTTTGATAACTAGATAATGATAACAGAGGAACCACATTCTTAACCAGATTTGTTTTTAAAAAGTACGCTATCCAGTGCTCACTTCAGTAGCACATATACTAAAAACATACACGATCCAAAGCTTTTTACATTCACCTTAATAAGTTGATAATATATTATGTGCTTAACAAATTAATGGTAGCTAAGTTTTGTAACCTTAGCAGATTGCGTTTTTCTTTGTGTTGTCTCTGTTAGAATAAATTATTTTGAAGTGAATATTGGGAATAGAAGAAACAATGTTACATTTACCCTCAGCTTCTAAAATCTCTTAAGTTTAAATGTAAAAATTGAATGGAGTGGTTAGGTCTCTCAAGTTTTCAGCCTCATTAACTCTGCTTCGATGGTGCATTAAATTATATTTCACAAAAATAGCTGCTTCAGTCAGTATCTATACATGTATATCACATTGGCATGCGCCTGTGATTTAACCTGTAGAGTTCTAACATAGCAAACATTGTTGCAGTGTTTTCTACTAACACATTTGCAAAAATTTGATTATTTTATTATTTTTTTAAAGTGAGGATTGAACCCAGGGTCTTCACACTGAACTATTAACACCACCCCCCAGCACCCCACCCTGAAACGGGGTCTTGCTATGTCACTAAGTTGCCAAGGTGGACTTGCACTTAGCAGTCCTCCTGCCTTCACCTTCCAGAGTGCTGGGATTATAGGCATGCACCACCAGGCCTAGTTTAGAAAGTTAATTCTTATACCAAAAAAAATTGGTTGAAAAGATTTTAGTAGGATGCTCAATTCTTAAATTTTTTTTAAAAAAAGTTTTATTCTTTTTTTTTTTTGGTACCGGGGATCAAACTTGGGTCCTTGTGCTTGCGCAGCAGGCGGCAAAACCACTGAGCTAGATCCCCGGACCCAAAAAAGTTTTATTCTTAAAAGAGCTATGAAACTCAAGGAATACCTTTTCATTTTTAAATGCTTATTTTCCTTCATAAAAGATTATTACAAAATGTGCCAAATGATTTGTCTTTCAGTGTTGTAGATGAAATCACCCTTATTTTGCAGATTACAAAACTGGAGCTCTAAAAGTTACTAAGTTAACTTGTATTTCTGACACATAATAAATTCTTTGGAGGCTAAACTAATAGTACCATTACCATTTTCTGATTTCTTCATCTAGTGTTATATTCTATCACACCTGGGACTTTGAGTAATTATTACAGCTAAGCATTTAGTAGCTCAGAGGGGAGGTGGGGATTCATTCACTTGATGGTGAGGGATGCATTTGAGGAATCCTTTCTAGAGGCCTAGTCCTGTTTATCTCAAGTTTCTCAGTATGCTCAGCATAAAACAGTTGTACACATTGACTGTTCAGGGAATCCAGTCATAGGAAGGGCTAAGCACTTAAGATAGTCTTCATGTGTGTATAGGTATTTTAATCTGTTAGAAACCTGCACTAATACCATGTATTCCATTTTCTTTTTAGACTACCAAAAGGAAGCGTGGCTACATTAAAAATAAGCTAGTTTTTAAGAAAGGCAAGAAAATATCTAAGAAGACTGTTTAAACACACTGTTCTGGTTCCTGACTTGAAGCAGTTGTCCTTGTGAGAACCGGTCTTTGCCTTTAGCTCATGTCATGTTTCACAGCATCAGAGGGTACAGAACTATCACTGGTCCAGGTTAATGTATACAATTTTCTGGCAATGCCCGATTTTGAAAAATAAAATTGGTTTATTGAGAAGAACTGTTTTTGATTTGTAATGTGAAGCAAGACAGAGCACTGCTGCAAATGTCTAGCAGCAGATTTTTTTTATTGGTACATATTATACTTCAGATCTGAGAATTTGGACTAATTGCACCAAAGAACCTTCTAATTTGGTCCCTTGCACATGCATACTTGTCAATGTTTTTATTCTTTTACAGGACCTGCATTTTATTTGAATTACCTAAATAGCAATATGTAATACAAATGACAAAAACTGATGAGAGCTTCTTGAACCAGTAAAACTAGTACAGGTCTAAAGAAAAGGTATTAGAAAGGAAATTATACATTCTTGAAATATATTTATTTTCTTGTTTCTCCAGTGCAAAGAATGTTTCATCAAATGTACATATTCTGTCTCATTGTTTGCTGTAAGAAGCTGCTGTTTCAAATATGGACCTCTGAGTAGCTAATTGATTCAAAAAGATTTTTACGTTGATACATTATTACTGCTATTAGCGGTTGTTTTCACAGGTACTTATAGAACACATTTCATACATTGTTCATTTAAGGGCTAAATTTCTATCCTTTGGAAATGATGGCAACTGCAAGGAAAGTTGCTTACCAGGATTGGGGTTTGGTACTTCAGAACTGAGGGTGGGACTATGTTTACATGCAAATGTTAAGGAAAAACCCTGTAAAATATATAGGTATCCAAAGTTCATTTTCTGTGACTCTTTGGAATGACAAAGGATTTGTAAACTTTGCCTGGAATGTTCTCATTTTATAACAGTTTCATTCATCACAATGATTTTTGATCTCTGCTCCATATTATAATACCTTAAGCATTTGATGAAACACTCTTTAGTGCTTATATGGATTTTCTTTTATTAAAAATGTGACAGTTGTTGAAAAATGCACTAAAATATAAATGGAGATTGAACACGTTCACTTTCCAGCTCTTAGGCAACTTTATACAGACTTGAAAATTTTCTCCAGTTTAGTAAAAGTGAGAGGGTTTTTCCTGCCACAGGATATGGATAAAACTTTTTTTTAAATAGCATAACACACCACTGCTTTTGGTGGAAAAGTACAGACTAGTATGTACCTTTTATGAAGAAAAATGTAATTTACAATGTTCAGTGAGAATGTTACTGCTGATTTTCTTTTTCAAGGTGTAGAATATTCTTTGATTTATAGAATTCATTTTTGACCCAGATGATAGTTCTTTTACAGACCAATAAAATGGCTAAACATTTTTCACAAAGTGTAACTAAATCTGAATTTCTGATACCTTGTCATTTGGGGGATTTTATTTTACTTTGTTGCTTTAAAATTCAATGCAGAGAAGTTGTTGACTGTAGGAGAAATAAAGTTAATTCAAATTTTGTGTTAAGTGTTGTCTTTTACAAATCTTTGTTTTCAAAAAGGAGTTACAGAGTACTGAACACTTACCTCCTTCCTGCTTCACTTTCACGAAGGTTTTAGAGAATATTTGTGGAGAAATTAAACTTTTTTAAATTTTGGCTTCCTTTTAACCCAGAATGAAAATCTTATTTTGGTTTTTCTTGTAGGGAAGAGAGAAGAAACCTAGTCAAAGAGACGTTTTATTTCTATTTAAATAAGGATAGGAATTTAACAATCTCTGCTCCATAAACTTCTGTTGTGTAGTTAGAAAAGTGTTCAGTGCAGAATTTTCTTATGCACAGGAAAGACCCCCTCACCTTTCTCGGTTTTAGGAAATAATGTTTGGGTTTGTTGTATCTTGTCAGCAAAATGCTATATTGTAACTTGTTAAGAACTGTAGTTTTATGTAGTAGCAAGTGAAAATGTAGTAGCTGACTACATAGAAATATATAGGATGCAGTAAAACCTTGGATTGCCAGTAACTTGTTCTGCAAGTGTTCCACAAGAGGAGCAAACATTTCTAATAAATTTTAATTGGATAAACTAAATGATGTCTTGTGATCACATGATCACAACTGAGCCAACAGTTTTCTTACTGTGGGATTGTGTGCAATGTCACATTTCTGCAAAATCCTCAAAAAGAGACAAAAGCAAGTTTTCATTGAATAGGTTCCTTGTTAAAGTTGCATGAAAAGAAAGATTCCATTGAGCCAAGAGATTCCATTGCTGAAAGTTGTTGTACACAATAAGCCTCCTCTCTCATTTCCCTCACAGCAGCCATGAAGATTTTCAAAGGTAAGTGCAGGTTTTTATTTATATTTTGTATTTTCTTTATTTTGTATATTACAGTAGTATAATCATTTTTATATGAATTTTTGGGGCTGTCGAAATAATCACCTGAGTTTCCATTATTTCTTATGAAGAAATTTGCTTTGATGTAACAAGTGTTTTGGATTACAAGCATGTTTCCAAAACAAATACACTTGCAAACCAATGTTTTACTGTAAATTGACTTAGAATATTCTATCTACATTTTTTGTGTATGTGATCACTAACACTGTGTATCACATTAGAATGTAAAGATTATGTCCTCTGAAAGTTGAGACTGCAAAGCAACTTTTAGAATGTGGTCTTTTTGTAATGTAAATACAGTGTCAAGGCAGCAAGTCCAAAGACAAAATTCAGCTTTCAGACTTACAAGGGATGATCATAAAATACAGTAAATGTTTAAATTTTTTTAAATTATGACAGTATAAGGCACATTGCCATTAATCCCCATCAAAATATTCCATTCCCTTTGCTTCAAATTCACCCCATTGTTCTTGACAATGTCTCTTACTGTAACAAGTTTTTTTTTTAAATTTATACTTATTCATGGTATCTTTGGATCACCCTTTGTACATTATTAATGTATTGGGTTTGCAGTGGTAGAGTTCAATTGAGTCCCTAAGCCATGAGGCCAAAAGACTAGATAGTATAAGTGTCCTATAGAGTCTTACTGTTTCCATAGCCAAGGGGCCTTAAGATCATAAATTTACAGGGCTGTAGCTCAGTGGTAAGAATGCTTACCTAGCATGTGCAACCTGGGCTCATTAATCACCAGCACTACAAAAATTTTTTTTATCTAAAACGCACATAACAAAATTTGTCAGTTTAACCATTTTTAAGTATGTACTAGTTAATATTTACATTGTTGAATACACTTTAGAACTCTTCATCTTACTGGAGTTACTATGGTTTAATGTGGGCTTTGTCAGATATCTGCCTTGTGCATAATCAACTGAGATTGAGAAATAGGTAAATACAGAGCTCAACAATGGTCTGTAGTTGTGATAGTTTGAAAGCAGAAGTCTGATTTTTATTACGAAATACAACAGACGTAGAAGTGTACACCTTAGTGAATTACTAAAGTAGGCAACTTCGTAACCATGACTCAAATGGAGAGAGCAGAACTGCCAGTGTTCCAGAAGTGCCCTCAGCCCCTCCCAGGCACTATCCTGTCTCCCTTAGCATCCCAGAAGGTAAATCAGTCCTAGCTTTTCTGGTAGTAATTACTTTGGTTTGTGCTTTTACGATGTAAGTATTTTTCAGTATGTTTAAGTGCACCTGCTCTTTAAACTATGTAAATGGAATAATAGGGTATATATTTTTCGTGTTTAGATTCTTTTGGTGAGTTATTTGTGAGATTTATCCAGGTTGTTGGAAGCAACTTTATTTTCATTGATAGAGTTCCCTTGTGTCTCTGTAGCTCACACTCACATATCCATTATATAGTTGATAGACACTTGTAGTTTCCAGTTTGAGGATATTACAAATACAGTAATGTTATAGAATATTCTTTTACATATGCCTGCATTTTTGTGGTTATTTGCCTAAAAATGGAATTGCTGATAGATTATAAAAGTTTTTGTTGCTTTCACATTCTAGTAAGTCCTTGTCATTCTAATTAATTTTGCCTTTCTGGAGGTAAATGATTTTTCTGTGTAGTTTGCCTTTTCCAGCTGAGGTTACCAGTGAAAAATCCCCTTTTTCTAAGGTATTGGTTCTAGTGCATATTTTTCCTTTTTTTTTTGGTACCAGGGATCGAACTTGGGACCTTGCGCTTTCAAAGCAGGCAGCGGAACCACTGAGCTAAATCCCAGGCCCCATATTTTTCTTCTTTTATTAGAAGTTCTTTATATACCTTATACATACAGTGGCCCCTTGAGTTACGACCAGCCTGACAGATGAACAACTTGGGTTACAACCACATTTTGGTTTTAACTTATGAACAAAGTCTTGAGTTACAACCTGAATGCTGGCCGCTTGTGCCTCCAGATGGTCTCAGATACAGATTTAACCCTCAGAGTTCTAGAAGGAGCATTACAACATCCTTTCCTCTATGGGTTTGAGAAATCCTGGGCCAATGTCTAAGAACACTGAAATCTGCCTGTATACAAGAGAGAGACTTTGAAGGCTGTGTCGAGCCTGAACCTTTAATTGACCAGCTTAAGTTAAAACCAGCCCTCACGAATGAACTGCTTCCCTAAGTCAAGGGTCCACTGTAATGCCATCAGTATTGTGTTGTAATTCAGTCTTTTATGTGTGTATGACTTTCTGTGCCTTCTAACCTGAAACCATGAAGATAGTCTTCTAGGTTGTTTTTCAGGAAAGTTTACCTTCCTTGCATCTATGTAGCTTTTTATAGTCCAGTCCACCTGGTGAATTGGTTGAATTTTTGTTGTTGACATATGTATATCTTAATTGTCCCAGCACCTTGTGCATGTTTGTGTGGGAGAGAGATGGAGACTGGAAGTTGAACCCAGGCCCTTGCACATGGTAGACAAGCACTCATATCACTAAGCTACATCCCCACTACTTTTTCTACTTTGAAACAGGATCAGGATGGCCTGAAATTTTGGGACCTGCTTGCCTCAGCCTCCTGAGTAGCTTGTATTACAGGCCACACATGACAGTCCACATCACTTACTGGAAGGAAAAATCCTTCTCCTACAGCTCTAGATATACCCATTTTGTTAATCAAATTCCTTAGATGTTTTATTCTATAGTGCTTATCTTTGTGTTGACTTAATACATAACTAAGATAACTAAGAAAGTAGAGTTCTCAACTTGCTCTTTAAACTTCTCTTGGCTATTCATAAGACTTTTGCTTTTTCATGTAAGTTTTAGAATCAAGTTATGTTCCACCAAAAGAAAAATAACATTAGGCTTTTGATGGAGTGTGTATATAATTTGGAGAGAACACATTTAAAAGACATAAGCAAGGCATATCCTTGAATTTATATGCATTTTAAGAATTTGTTTTATAGCTTTTGAAGGACTTACATGTTTTCATAACTTATTACAAGGAATGTTTTTTGATAAATATTATAAAATAATTTCTAATCAGTATGAGTTTATAATGAAATTATGTTTAAAGATTTATTGTGAACATAGACCATAACTTGGAAGTAATGACAATTTTTATAATGATTATATAATTTTCTTGCTTTGCTGCCCTAAGACATATATCCAGTATAGTACTGCAAAAGCCCCATCCTTTTGTTTTGTCACATAGGGAAAGATTGATAGTTCACCTTTATATTTGCTGTAGATCTCTGCTCAAACTATAATCGTTTTCTATTTTTAATCATAAATGGGTTTTCTCAAGTTTTTTTTCCCCCTATTGAAATGATTCTGAATTTTATTGTTACTATGGTGGAATAGTCTCTTGCTAGGTAGAAGTAACTAGTGAAATCATTTGTTCCTGGAGGTTTTTGTACAAACTTTTAAAATTACAGACACAGGATTGAGGTTTTTTTCATTTCAATTTTGTTCTGCTTTTCAAGGAATTCACCCACTTTATCTAAATTTTCAGTTAATAAGAAAGTGTTGGTACTATAATTTGTACAGTTTTCTTGGCCGGGGGAAGATTTTAAAGTTGCAAATTTATTCCAACCATACTTTAAGCTCCATTCTCACACGTTTTGATGTCATTTGTTTTGGTGTATATTTAAGTTCCATTGTACTACTTTAAACTGTGGGTCATTTCAGTGTGTATACCTTGATTTCCAAATAATGGTAGTTTTCTAATAATGTATTTTACTAACTTCTATCTTTATTGAATTATAGTCAAGATACTGATACTAGTCCTTTCAAATTTGTTGAGACTTGCTCTGTGGCCAAATGGTTAGTTCATTCATACAAATAAAATAGGATATGCCTCATTAAGATATAACATTGATTTCAGGGTCATATGGAAATACATTTTAAAATACTGCATATATATTTCCACATTTCTGAAAGCAGTGTGGCTTTTTGCCAGTTGTTTTTTGTGATTTAAGAAATTGTAAGGGCAAATGTTACTTGCTTTTCAAAAGATATTGTGTCTGCCTGATACCTAGGGAAATTAAGCCCAAATCATCTTAATCCAGTTTAAGGGATGGATGTTGTATACAAAGCTAGTCCACTATGCTTGCAAAGATGTGAAATTATCCAAGGGCTGTACCC